TTTTGTGTTCATCGGCGAAACTAATTCTCAATTAAAGCGACTCATTTGAACTGGCGTGGAATTAAGTTTCATTCCTTTTTATACAAACCGTTTAACTGCGGGATTTGCAGAAATGTGTAGCACACATATCATCTCAGCTGTTTGTAATATATATCATTATACTAAAAATTATAGTACAACTGTTCTGATGTACGTTATTTTCTAGCTCCCCATTTTCAGCAAGGAATCGGAACTAATTAACAAAAAAGTCGTAAAATTTTTTACATGAATACGTTTGAATTCCAATTTTTCTTTTCATGTATATTTTACACTTACCATTAAATTTTCAATTAAAAGTAGAAGTTTGGTGTTAAAAATTAAATTCAAAACTTTCCTCGTAAATATTGAAGGTACATTCATTAAGAAAAGTCTGTCAAGAAGTTTTAAATGAATATCACATAATTGTCTGTTGATACAAGGCATATAAAAAATAGATTAAAATTTTAATTTTTCTCCTCTCTTTTATTCATTATTANAAGATAACTAACGCTTTTATTTATGATAAGTATTAAATAACGTTAAAGGTGTAATGTTTAAAAGTTTTTAATAGTTTCATAATATTCTATCAGCGAAATTCTAACAGATTGCTACCTTTTCTCACGTTGCAACATTTTTCTATGGGGTACTTTCGAATTACACATTATATTATTAACGTCCTCTTACTAATATATAAAGCAAAGTCGCTAAAACCGTTGTAATCGCTTACCGCGAAAAATACTGAACCAATTTTGCTCAAAATTTTGCACACTGATTCATGATACTTCCTACATGGTTTTAGTATAGTTTTTATCTTAAAAAGTTTAACAACAGTAGCAATAAATGAGCTCAAAGTTTTGCAAAAATACGCAATCTTTTCACTTTAGTTCAGTAAGATCCACTAGGTGGCGTCGACATAAAATCAAGGCTACCTGCAACAGAAGAAAATAAGTGTCGTTATAATACGCCGAAGCGTCTCCATATCTGATGCAGTTGTGCTTCGACAGTTGACTGAGCTGCATAGACAAAGGAGATTATAGTCCTACAGCTGGATATTCCGGTTACGGACGACACTCTTCTGTAAGGGGGAAGGGACCTAGGTTTCCGTTCACCCTGAATCTCTAAAAGTGTAATAAAAAAAAAATTCATTCAAACCGATGACGTCTCTGGCATTATACCAGGAGACATATCTAGCCAGAGCACATAACAAAAATAAAAAATAATAATATTGTGGACACCGTGGTTAGCCATGAAATTAGGCATGTAGTATACATAATAAACAGCAAAGGGCTTAAAATAATGGACGGTAGGCAGATGACTATAAACAAGATAAATCCAAGTATGTAACTTCCAAAGAAGATATAATAATGGATTATGTAATTATTAATAAGTGTGCTTTAGACAACATAAGAATTTTAATATTATAGGGAGGGTGGACTTAGACCATACGTAAGAGAAGAGTATAGTAGTAAGAAAAAGAAGCTTCTATGGCTTAGTGGTTAGCGTGCTAGCCTCCTGGATAAAGATAGTCGTCAAGGAGATTTTTTCTCTGGGTCTTCTCCGATGGGATGAGTACCCAGGATGCCGAAGCACCACTTATCTGATTTTTTAAATAAATAGTTAATTTTTCTTGTTATGTCTGGACTTCCAAGGACTTCCTTTCCAAAGGAAAGCCAACATCTGGCCAACTCGTCGGGTAAAGTCACTGGCGGTTATGAAAAGTTCTGTACAACGAGTTAGATGGTTTATTAAAAAAATATCTTTTCATTAAACTTGACAACATCTGGGGTGTTTTTGAGACAGTCGCTACACCCTGAAAATAGTACCCAGTAGGATGGATGACCGAGTCGTCTTAAGGGAACTTTGCAAGGCCCGCACGAAAGAGTCGTATACTTGGGGAAATAGAATGGTAATTACAGAAAAAAAAGGAAAGGTAAAGATAAGGGACATAAGATACGTAAAAAAGATACGGTAAACGTTGGAATCTTAATATTATACATATAAAATAAAACAGTGAGAAAAAAAATTATAAAGATAACAATCTTTTCATAGTCGGACGAATACAAAATTACACTTAATCGAAAGGAAGAGAAACTATACAAAAAATTCTGCTGGTAATCGAGACCTTTGTTATAAAGATCTGAATAAAAACTCTCAAAATAATTATTAATAAATCACTATGAAAAGGAAAAGAAAAATAATCTTTGACTGTCAGGTATTACAAAAAAAAAAAAAAAAAAAAAAAAAATTATGTTACATCATTTACACTTCAGAAAACAGAAAATCAAAACAGACTATTTTGCAAGCAGATAAAAGAATGGTGGTGATAAAGCAATTTATAACAGAAAATAAAGATAATATTGCAAAGCAAAAAAAATGGATCTTGAAGAAATATAAAAAGTACAATTAGAAAATATCAAACGTACGATTGAAGTTTGGGAGCTTTTATGTAGGAATAAAAATAATAATGTGTTAGGAAACGATTTTTCGGGAGAATAAGAACCTTTACCACAATTAGCGAAAAAAAGAGAAGTAGAAAACGGTAAAAGAGAAGCGACCGACAACTATTTTACATGGACGCGTACGAACATTTACATGCACTTAAATTTTTTTTTATTTTTTTAAACAAAAATAACTTGTCTATCCCTTTGAAAATATCAACCTGTAACAAGCGGCCAGAGTTAGCGACTTTAAAAGAAAATTTGATTTACTTGTTGTAAGATGCATCTTTTTTAAAGAGACATATATCAAAAATCTAGTATACCAGGGCGTACAAGGGTCATAAAACATGAAGAAAAAGTAATAAAAATAAAGTGTGATAAAATTTTTTAAATTCCTTAAAGAAAAATATAAAGTAGGCGTAAATAATCCATACAGCTCAGAAATTTCTAACTGTAGGTTGTCTAGTAGACAAATAATTATTTTCCTACGAAATTCCCAGAAGAATACGAAAAAAAGTTTGACTCAATCTAGAGCAAACATCAGTTTTTTTCTTAATAGTTCGTGATATTACGTCAATTCTTTATTAAATAGCATGAGAATATCTATACTACTGCTACACCTAAAGAAATTGTACGATTCCAAACTTTTGGTCGTCAAATCTACTAAAGCATGGACACGTTTTTAAATTTATTACTGATTTTTTGTTGCACGTAAATAGCAAAAAAGTGAAAAGGAATACTTTCATAGTAAAAACTTAAGACGAAAGTAAAAAAAACAATTAAGCGAGTTTTAGCTAAACAGCGAGTAATCATACAAATAACCTTCCTCAGTAGGAATAACTACAAATTCGAGAAGAAATTCTTTATTTCGTAAGAGGTAATTTTTTAATGTGTAACTTTCAAGTGTTGTAATAAACATGATTGTTGGTCCAACGACATTTTGCTTAAATAACAACAGTTTATGTATTGTTAATAATTACTTTGGTCGGACTAATATCCCTGTGTACACTTGTTCACACGTACTCGACCTCTTTTAAGTAATTTTATTAAAAAACCCACTTGTGTATCAATTTCAAAATCCACTGTAATGTTTGTAAATAATTCTTTATTATAACAAAATTTGAGAGGTTTCTACATATTATTTCTTGATAATAAATGTAATTTTATTTGATTCTTCCGTTAGATCTCGTTTTTAATTCGGATTTTTAAAAATTAAGTATGTAAAAAACCGTACAGTAAAACAATTCAAAATTTTGTGTGGTATATTTTTCGGGGGAATAATAAATATGCGTTGGAAGTTTCAACAATATCTGCCAGAAAAACATACGTGTGATTTACATTTTGACTTTAAAAAAAAAAAATCTTTATTAAATCCAAACATCTTGCTCCTTTGTCATAATCAATAAAATAAATTACAGGTAATATACTTGTGATATAGAGCATGACGTTGGGAAAGGACCAAACCAAACTTTTGGATAAGAGTGGTATTGTCTATATGATAAGTTGTGGGTGTGGTGTCAAATATACAGGACAAAGTAAAAGATTTTTAAAGATTAGATTAAGTGAACACGAAAGGTATATCAGAAATAAAGACACTAAGTCAGCATTGTTTATGCACTCCTCTGAGTGTTCACAGAGTTTTGATTTTGAAGGTGTGGTGGCTTTGGATCAGGAGGCTAACAGGTATAAGCGTGAATCTGCTGAAATATTGTTTATCACTTTACATAAGAACACCATTAATAGACAATTAGATACCAACAAGTTAAACTATTTATATAAAAAATTTTTGTTAGACATAAGACTAAAAATTTTAAAAAAACCTCAACATAATATGTTTTTACAAAATCTTTACACGTTTCATATGTTGTTATATTGTATAATAGATCTTACACATTCGGCACTCATATGTATTCATATCCCATGCTTGGAACTGTTGCTTTCTGATCTACACGGTCTCGTTGATCTATGCCAGAAGACATGTAGTCTGTAGCCTTTTGCATTTATGTGTTCAACTCTTATAATTGTATTTTCGTATGCGCACTCATGTTTTATTGATATTATGCAATAGTTTATTTTCTTGATTGCTGTTCATTTATTGTTTAAGTTATGTAAATATTAAGTAGCGCTCTTTTGTCTATTTGACATGTTATTTTGGCAGCTGCACATGTAACCTTTATTGCTTATTGTAACATTTAAACCATTCTTGTTTTGATTATACATTTTTTTATAGTGTCCTGAAGAGGTTTTCAGAATGAAAACGAAATATTGACGATATGTACAAAATAAAGTCATGCTCTATATCACAAGTATATTATGTGTAATTTATTTTATTAAAAAAAATCTTTGTTACTGTACAAAAAAAAAGACTTTCATCCAGTATGATGGAAAACAAATCTTCTCTTTCAAAAGTTATAAATAATCAAATCAAAAGTAAACTCAAACTGATTGGGTTCCTTAAACCTTGTAGCAATGCAGTTTGATACTTGAAAAACAAGAAAAATAATTTTGAAAAAAATAGAAGTAAGAAAAACTATATTTGTATACCTTATTGTGATGAAGTGTTGATCTTTCATGCTTCAGAAGATGTCCTTTAGTACGAAAAGATATCCCACAGCTCTCACATCTAAATGGTCGCTCAAAATAATGAATATTTGTGTGTAGCCTAAGTTGACTTTGCTTATTGAATACTTTGTTGCAAATATTGCATACGTTACGAGTATCATCAGTAATGCTGTGAATTAATAAGTTGTATGAATAATTTTTCCACTTTTTTTAAAACTATAAGTTGCGATGTAATCTGATATCGTTAAATAAACTACAAAATAGTTAATTGAGCATTTTTATTTAAGTAGAACTGTATTAGTTTATAGAATTAACCTTTTACCATCGGTAAAATTTTTTAAATTTTTGTCTTAAGTTGAAAAGGATTGAATGGTTTTTTACTTATAGTACAACGAATGACATTAGTCACAAATTATATTTTTACTTTTTATGACTAGATTCAAAGAAAACTCTGCCACTGACAATTTTCAAAATTTTTTTTGCTTACTTTATGTTTTTCTTAGCCCATCTTTGTTTCAGATCATCCTGAAGTACGAAGCAGGCCACGAAGGTAACCTTAGCCAAAATAACCTTTCAAAAAGATAACCTCCAAGGAACTCAACTCCTTGCCCCACTAAACCAACTATACCCCAGTTAAGCTTTTAACAAACTGAGCTGTAACTTTATTAGAATATTTTTAATTTCACAACATTAGTTTCACAAATATATTTTTTTTTAAAGTTGGTTTAAAACCACGAACTTATTAATAGTTTAGTACATTTTCTAATAATAATAAATAAAAAAGAAAGAACTCATGGGCGTAACATGTTTGTAACAACATAAAGATTACTTTCATCAACAGTTTTTAATTCAATACAACGTTTGTAATAATAGATGCTATATTGAGCTTAAATTCGAAGAACATTTTAACTAATTTCTAAAATAACATGATTATATGTATGACATACTTTGATACAAATAATTTTTTTGTATCCTTGTTATTGTTAAATAAATATATTATGAGGTAGTAAATCAATAATATAACACTTGTTAACACTTAAATTAATATATTTTACATTAAAAATAAAGGTGCCCACACAGCATAACAGATGTCACTACTTACGCATCTAATATAAATTTACGTATATTCCAACACACCTACTAAAATTTATATAACAATCTCAATTTTAATATCTTAAACTACTTTACATTCAACATTTTTCTTAATTTCCGTCTAAAGCTTTGGTAAAAATATCTGCTACATTTTCTTCTGAATCAACTTTTACAACATCGATTTCGTTTTTGCATAACTTTCATTTACAAAGTGACCATGAATTTCAATGTACTTCGATTTCTAAGTAAAATGTCCAAATCAAGCTATGCTTATCGCACCAGAATTATCTTCCATCGTTCTAATTGGGTTGCAAACTTTAATTTTCAAATCAAGCGATAAATCTGTTCATAACTTTTAATTCACTCACACACTCAGAAAACGCTACAAACTCAGCTTCTGTTGATGATTTTGTAACACTATTATTTTCTGGAATTCCAATAAATCACATTTCCATACATTCTTATTCTCTAGCCTATCGTCGACTTTTTTATTAATATCACCAGTCCAATCAGCATTGACAAAGCAATCAATAATATTATTACTACTGTTTTCATAAATTAATTGTTAATTCCTTGTTGAAAATGAATATTTTAAAATTCTTAAAGCATGTTTAAAATATCGTTTAGCATAACTATTTTGAAATCTACTGAAATAATTTACACTCAAGCTAATGTCAGGTCTAGTTCCCGCACTTACATACGAAAGAGCTCTAATTAAGTTTCTAAACTTAATATCGTCACACACTGATTTGTGCTGCTTTTAATTTCAAATTTTATTCCGTAGGAACCGAATACAATTTTAAATTTTTAATATCATACTTTTTTGCTAATGTTTAAATAAAGTTTTTCTGATCAAGTGTCACTTTTATATTTTTAAAGTTATAATTGAAGCTAATACTTATATAAGTACTTATTCTACCTAAATTTTTCATTTGAAATCGTTTAATTAATGACCGTTTAACAGAATTCAATTTTTCTTTGTTTTGACAGTAAAATAATAAGTCATCTATCTGTTCAACAATCAAATTATTTTGACAAGAATAGAAAAGTAACATTTTTAAAGTTTGCATTCTTGCAACTAGTGAATAAGTGTCAATGAAATCATTTTTCTGCTATCCTCTTACTACTAACCTAGCTTTAAAAGCATTGATAGCCTTTTTAGTGTAAACCCATTATTGCATCTTAAGTTCTTTTATAATTAAGTTTATATACAGAAATCGAAGTTCTATTTTTGTTTCTCTATTCATCGCCTTTTTCCAATTTTCAGACTCATTACTATGTACCGCATCATTGTAAGAAACAGATGCCTTAGCATTTGCATAATTTACATAAATATTACTATATACAAAATTTTCATCTCTGTACCTATAAGGCTCTTTTCTTTCTTAAGTTAACCGTCTTAAATTAAAATTTTTATTTTCATCATTGCCCTTTGTATTAAAATCGCCATTTTTGTTGGAACATTGTTTTCATGTAAACTAATTTTTACTATGTCATTTTCTGATTCTAAACCAATACAATTTGTGCCATCCTCGATAATATCAACGAGTCTTATAACTTCTATTTTACTATTTATCAGAACTCTATAATCAACATTTTCGTAAATTAACAAAATTCCTAAATCTGCTTTTTTCCCCATTCTGAATTTCTTTTTTCCTCTGGTATTCTCACGAAAAATTTACTTCCATTAATTTTTTAATTTTTTATACTATATTTCATACTTTTATAATACTTAGTATATGGTTTTTTCCAAAACATAACTTCAAAGGGTGTTTTATTCTTTTCAACAGTATTAGTGAAGTGATTTCAATTTTTCAAATACTCTACTGTTTTAACTATTTCTCGCCAAAATATATTGTGAACCCTAGCTTTGTTTAATAAACATCTAGACATATCCATAATACCCCTGTTATATTTTTCTGCCGTTCCATTTACTTCATGTACATAAGGTGGACACGCATCAACAGATGTACCTTTCTCGCTTGCAAAATTACTTGTATCCTTATTTATATATTCTTTTCCATTATCACATCTTAGTCTTTTATGTTTTTTTTTGTATCATTTTCAATTAAATTTACATAGTCAACAAAACAATTATGTACTTGATCTTTCGATTTAATACAATACGCTTCAGCTACTTTACTGTAATCATACATAAAACTCAGAAAATTTTTTTCGCTTTTTAAACCAGTAGTACCATGAGGTCCATTTAAATCGGTATGTATCATTTCAAAAATATCTTTAGCCTTTAATCTGTCATTATTAAATGGAAAATTATGCATTTTATTTTCCAAGCAAATTCCATATTATAAATAACCAGTTCCTAATTCTCTGAGTAAACTATTAAGCATTTGTTTATCACACATTGTTTTCAAATAAGTAAAATTTACGTGACCTAGTGTTGTATGCAACTTTTCCTTTTCTGTTAACTTATTCATTGTCATTAAGTTTGACTCGGTATACATACTTTCACTTGTCACATGATAAATATCATTATTTTTATCAGCTAACGCAATTAAATTTCCATTTTAATCAAAAATCTTCGACATATTCCCTACTGATACAATCTTTCTTTTTTTTTCTTCTTTACCGTAACTCATTGAATTTTCATTGATATCTTGACCAAAAAAAACATTTTTTACTATATTCATTTGACTTCGACCATAAAGAATAAACTTGTAACTAATATTACCAACTTTTGTTGCTTTTAAAGAATGACCATTACCTACTTTTACGTTTATAGGTTCTTTTAATTCAACAGATTCATAAAAAAATGTCGATCATCATTTATAATATGATCTGAGCAACCGCTATCAAGTAACCATTTAACCTTACTTAAATTACACAGCTGTTTACTTCAGCACGCGACTCATTAGGTCTTTCCTCGAATTCCGCATTGAAACTACTTACACTAACGTCTTTATTTTGATGTAATTGATTATTTTGCAGCAAACCACCTCCTGGACGGTGTTGACTAGAGCCTCTTCCAGCTACGTGACCTCGTACTCAGCTGCCACGATGTTGCCACTGCTGTTGTTGTTGTCGCCCGCCTCGTTGCTGCTGCGCACAACCATGCTCCCATTAATTATCACTTTGTCTCGTTCTCGTATATTGTGCCTTGAAGTGTCCCTACTTTTCGCACTTGAATTGTTTTTTTTCCATGTTCCTTTTCTTTTGATTCAAACATTTTTATTTTACTTTCCACGTATTCAACTGTTTGATCAAATTCTTTTAAGACATTGATTGAATCACCAATATAACTTAATGAACTTAAAAGCATTTTGATCATGTAGCTTATTTTTTTTTTAGTCACATTTTTACCAGCACTATTCATCTCATTCATTAATATTTGAAACTCAGTGAAAAACGCACTTGAATTTTCAAAATCTTTCAACTTTAATTTCTGCAACTTTGCTTTCTTACACAAATTTGCAGTGCAGTCGACTCCTTTATAAACATTTCATCAAATTTATTCATTATTTCGTACGCTGTTTCTTTGTCCATCACAAACTGAAGCTGATCATTCGAAATTCCACTATATATTACGTTGACCGCCTTCAAGTTATTTTCGATCCACTCTTCTTGTTTATCCGTTCATATCATGTCTCTTGTTGCTACTACGTCGCATTTTTTCGTTTTTAAAATCATCCTGATTCTCTTTTTCCAACACTCCAAGTCTTTTCCACCAAACACCGGAATTTTCACTTCATCCGTTTTGGTTTCTTCTTCGCTGTCCGAATCTTCTAGAATTTTCTTTACTATAAGTACTTTTCTTGTTATTTCCACAAAACTTTTTCTTAAATTCTTAACTAGTGTTGGATTGATCTTATCTTTTAATTTCATAAGTGTTGAATCGATACTTTCAATTGGATCCATAGTTGTTGATGATCAGAAGCCACCGAAGCAACACGTGAAAATCAAAAAAGAAAAATACTAACCACGGACTCGGCTGCCATGTTAAATAAATATACTGTTAGGTAGTAGATCAATAATATAACACTTCTTAACACCTAAATTAATATATTTTACAATAGAAAAAAAGGATTAAACAAGATTACGAGTTCTCCTCTCATAACA